CGCAACCAATGTCGCCAGGAGCACATCTTTGCTCTCAGAAACGGTCTTACTCTATAGCGTACATGACTAGTGAATCAATAATTGCAAGAGCACACCAACCAAGTTACTATGACGACCCGATTAACGATTAGCCCTTCGCACGTAAACTATTGTATTGAATACGAATAACAAAACTATTGAGTTCCTTGTAACCGTTTCCTTCAAATACATAGTCAAGCGTATATATATATATATATATATATATATATGTCCTCTCAGACATGATAACCACATTTACGTATGGTTTTTTCTTCCTAATATACATTAGTACTTGTTTTAAAGACTGGATAGCATACGTGTCCATTAAATGTTGCGCTCCAAACATTTTTTATAAAAGACCTTAACAGCACGTGGTCCAATCAACCAGCGAGCTGTAAAATTCTTATTCAGTGGATTAAAATTAGTTCACAAGTTTTACCAAATATATTATCGTTTTCAATCAAATGATCCACGCTCAGGTTGGCGGCAATACGAATCAAATCTGATAAATGTCTGTAAGTAGTATTGCATATAAACATAACGGCCTCTCCTATCCCTACTAAAGTGCCAAGACTCTATAGAGCAGCCAACTAGATAACATATCGATTCATTACTGGCAGGCACTCCATTTCTACAGGGGGTGATCGGCATACACTTTTATTAATTCTACAGAAAGGTGGTTACAAGAACATACAGACATACACTATCATTAAGTCAGGCCAATTGAAATCGTCTAACCTGCCAGTGACATTGAGATTATTTTATCTCAAGATTAATTGGAGGGAAGTTGGGCAGGCTTGTTTAGAGGTGTTTACATGAGTGTTTTTGTGTAGAAAACTAAGTAAATTTATCACAACATTGTATGTTGAAGACCATTAAATAGAACAACCTTAATCTAGTTTAAACATCATACCAGATGCACAGTTGCAGTATTAAAACAACATTAAAATGTTCTCAGAGCAAGAAATGAGCAAAGCCCACAAGCATTTTTGAAACTTCGCCATTGTGAGGCTATTGCGTTTAAATGCACATGAAATGACAATGAAATAACTGCAAAAACGTGGCTGTACACTCATGCAAGTTTCTAGCACATACAAAATACAGAAATTAATTGCGCAAGTAATGTATATATATATATCTGTATGACCACCGACCATTAAATTCTACCTCGTGTTAAGGTCGATATAAATTTCAGATTTTCATATTAGTTTCATCAATCTAATCTGGTAGTTGCATTTGGTTTTTAATTGGTGGAGTGAGATTACTGTTTCAGTGTATAGGTCTAGAACTTCTGACGTTTTATGGATCAAATCAAGTAGAACTTTCAACTCTTTAAAGATATATATTATAAACTGGCCATTACCGCCTGTCTAATTTCCCCTCAGAAGAAACTCTGTATGACACCACTAATTTACCTGAAAATCGTATGTGTTCTTCAAAAAAGTTCTTTGAATACGACACGATTTCACAGTTTTCTCAACAATTAGCAACTGAGCGGCGAATGTTTATTATCGGATTAGTGTTCCATTGGGCCACCCTTAAAAAATTGTTTGTTTCCCCTTTACCCTAGGTGAAAAATCTTTTTTATTTTGTTTTGACAAGATGTGTGTATACATGTATATTGTATATGTTTTTTCGGAACAAAAATATTATTTTTTTTTTGCTAAACGAAATAATTTTTGTTTTGTTTTAATCGGCCAATAAAATGTGTCGAGTAGCGGCGTTTTGGCGAGTCGGTCGGTAAAGGGGAAACAAGCAATATTTAACCTTAGGCCTTGCCTATGACGGAATGCTGGGGGCTGTTGGGGATATTAGGCATCGAATTGTATTCAGCGTGTAGCGTTTCCAGCGTGCTAGAAATAAATGTGTGCTCACGGCGAGCTAGCAGCTGATTTTAGCTGTGTTGCCATCATGTTCCTGATGATAAGGAAGCGAAACAAGTGCTGTTACTGTGCTTCCCTAATATCTCCAACAGCCCCCAGCATCCCGTAGTTACAACCTGGTGCTGCCGCCACATATCAACATGGGCCGCTCAGATGCGAATTGTTGGGAAAACTGTGTGAAATTGTGTCGTATGCAAAGAACTTTTTTGAAGAACACATACGATTTTCAGGTAAATTGGTGGTGTCATATGATTAAGGGAGAATCATCGACGAAAACAAGGTAAAGTTCAGGGTTCTCCCTACGTTGCGCAAACGGGGCGCGCGCGCCCCGTTTGGGAAAACTCCCCCCTGTTTGAATCGTTGCGCCCCGTTTGAATTACCTCCGCCCCGTTTAAATTCCACCACAATAAAAGTTTGCCAGCGCGGGAATCAACGTCAAGAATTGCCGTTCGACCAGGACACCCGACGCGTGTATTTTTACCGTACCACGCATGCACTGCAGACAGTACACAAGTTAACCTGTAACTAACTGTACACCGACTCGGCTATCTTATATATAAAGAACCCCAAAATACCGTCTATGGTGTGGTGGCGATTTACGCATTAATTAGTCGTACGGTAAAAATACACGCCCCGGACCCCTAGTTTCCCCCTCCCTCCTCCCTCCCCTGTTTGAATTTCATCCTGGGGAGAACCCTGAAGTTTGAATATATTTATTCACATATATTGATAGAATATTTACAAGTTGAAAACTATGCAAAACGCTGTTAAAACGGTGTCATACTCTTCTCTATTATGTGCTCTTGATATTATTCAACTATTACCCTTAAAAGATCACGATGAAAAAGTACCATAGCAGTGATAGCACATCAGTCCATTTAAAATATAGTACATTTAAAATGAGATAGTGGCACCCTGTCAACTAGAGAACCAATTATTAGCAACTATTAGTGTTGTCAATCGGTTGTAATTTCGTAATCGATCATCGGTTAGACCCAAGTAACCGATGATCGGTTAGGCCAAAACAAAATATAGGTGTGGATACGGTTTCCCGACTGACCCTATTTATTCCCAGCGACCCTAAACATTTTATTGTCAATTTTCTTTAAAGTAAAAATATTTAAAAATATATATATAAAAAAAAAATATATGAATTGGACAGTTCCTGCTTCAAAAGGCACAACACACATCCTTCGGACATGGTTCGTAAATAAAATATTTCAAGAAAATAAAATGTTTTCCCTACCTACCCTATTTTTTTCCGGCATGTAACGGTTATGTATGTTAATAAAGGATAACTTGTATAGTAGTGATGATATCTCTGATTCTCATCACTTTTCTAAGTTTTCTTGTTCAGGTTTTACATTTATTTCGATTTTTTTTCCTTTCCGATGAAATTGATTATGGATTTTGATAACCAAGCGCTTGGTTTGAGCCACTGTTCAACCGATGATCGAGTATAACCGATGATCGTGACATCACTAGCAACTATAATACTAATACAAGTATCATTATTTCTTATACATATAACACACACATATATATATATAGGGCTCCCTCTGGATGAGGCTGTGCTTTTTTTTAAACTTGTGCTTTTTTTTAAACTTTAAATTGTGCTTTTTTGCTTTTGTGCTTTTGTGCTTTTGTCAAAACTTTAAATTGTGCTTTTTTTTAAACTTGAGCCACCAGTTATTTTTAGCCACCACTGAAAAAGTATATTGTTCACTTTATTGTATGTGCTAAGTATAGGACTATGGTTCTCACATTTATTTCATTTCTTTTGTCTTACGTGTTTTAAACGCTGTTATCATTGGTTGATGATAAATAAAACGAGTACGACCATCAGCTAAAGAGTTTATTACTTTAAAGACTGAACTTATTGATGATAACAGCGTTTTTTACATCCCAAAATGCGTGGCTGTGTGATGTTCACAATTGCGATCGCAGAAGAATTGGCGACATGGCGTTTCACAGCCCGCTGTGCCGTTCTAGTTGTCACTCTGCAAGGAAGCCTTAACACCGACCGGAACATTGTTGCCTAGTTATTCCTTCGGCCAAGAGGCCAAAATTCACGACATAGGCAAAATTCTTCACAAAATTTAGAAACTAGAGGTCACCTACCAAGGCATTTAACAGGTGATGGGTGTGGGGAAAAGAGGTGTACGAAAACATTTTTTTAAATAAAGTAATCAAGTAAAAATAAACCAATGGAGTTTAGTTTACACAAAACTAGGTTGTTTTATTTAAAGCCTAGTTTAAAATACGACTAGGTTACGGAATTTGCTAGTAATTACACGACACTGCAATTTGATGATTTCATTATTCATTCGTAATTTTGTAATCAGTTAAATTCGCCAATTATATCGTCACTTAGTGTAGTAAAATCGGCACTGTTGTTTATTTAGCGCATTTTGCGAAGGTGGCGAATGCCAGCGGTAGCCCTGTATATATGTGTATATATATGGATACACACATGAGACTGAGCGAGCAAACTGACATGTGAAACAATTGTAAATCCAATCGTATCAATTTCTGCTATTCACGATGCTCCCATTGTAGTAACCTGACCCTAACACCGTGTAAGGGGGACAAAAACAGATATGATTCCAAACCGGTCACTGGTTCCTTGCCCAATTCAACTGACGGTGCGAATGGACGATCTACAATGTTTATAAAGCACAGCTGGCTCTACACTACAGAAATCCTTGCAACTAGATACAGGGGTTATAAGTCAAGTTCAGTTCGTGAAAGTATAAATACCTATACATATTTCAAAATAACACTCAAAATTTAGGCCCGAACGCTCAAAACATCGGAGCATGCACGGAAGATACATGTAAGTTTTGCGTACTGTACATATAGGTGACTGACTTCGCCCCAGATGGCAGCCTACTCCAGCCATCTGCAATACACGTACTCGTACCAAACATGTCGGCCAATATCGACTAAAAACAAGACATAGGAAATAAGGGGGACAGCGGAGAACTTCCCACTGCCCGGACATACGTAGCCGATGCTAATGTTTAGGCAGGCAAACAATTAACTCCCGGCTATGAACAAACGATGGCAACACAATGAAGCAAAATGGCAGATACTTACAGTCACTGAGGCTCACAATCCCAGCCAGGGTCATGATCGGAACGTTGGGTATCTCCCCGTTCATCTTGCTTTGATGTTAGAACAAGTCACACTAAAAATACAAGGTAAATCCAGTATGTTTAGGTGCCTACATTCGCCACAAATTGCCCATCATTACCTACAAATTCAAGACAGTAATAATGGAGGCAGGCCATTTTGTGAACGAAGATGTGCTAGTGCTGCCATCAAGTGTACCGAATCGACACTATATTTTAATACGATACATTGGGACGTTCAAACCAACAAACACTTCCAAGTTATAAACATTGGGAAAACAATTTAAACGCACGTTCTTTTTACACACATCTTAAAATGCGTTACATATACAAAGTAAATAAATAAATAAAACAAGCAATTAAGTTTTCGTGAATGCAACAACAAAATGATTATACTTATATAAAATTAAGAGATGCAAGTGTACCATTTCACATTCTATACTGCAAGCACAATTACGCATAATGCAAATTTATTTCATTGCAATGCAAGTAAAAATAACCATTCTATAGTAGGCATTCAACTTGATGTTTGACAAATATCATTGTCCAAGTTGCATTCAGGCAACATCACCTACCTGTATTGGCATGATTCAAATAATCACAGGTATGTAACTATTGTCAACCACCAGCAGTCTTATCCCTATTTATCAACAGTTACTTTTTTTTACTTCAGTAGATCACAGCCACACATCCCACATCACCATCACACATTTAAAGCACTACCTTTACGTTTTCAAAAAAACCAATAAAATGTCATGGCTAAGATAATTCTGACAACTGAAACGCCGTTGTACTTTTTTTTTACAAGATACTCCTTACCTATACTAATACGATCTAGGAAGAAAGACTGAATAGAAAGAATGGCATTTAATTATTTTATAAAAAAATATGGGATTTCATATAAAATATAATAATCACCTGTGTGTAGTGAGCCTGAAACACTAAAGTTATAATTGCAATATAGCGATGTAATTCAGGAAAATATGCAGATTCCATCTTCTTACAAATCCTTACAAACAGAGGAGCAGGCGAAGTTTATCCTTTTTAATTAAATAGGGCAGACTGTAGTATATTCATTACCAAATAGCCAACTACTAAAAATTGAAAAAGAATGTGATAAAAACGTTTTCCACCCTGAAGTGGCCACGCCTGTAACCATAATTTACTTGCCACTATTTCCCACAGTAATTTTTTTCATACAAAATACTGTTTAGCCTCATGAGCGAGCTGGCAGGGTTAAATAAGTGAGGGCTGAAGGTGCTGCTGCATATTATAAGTCTCTAGCGCACGCCTGGCGCATAGCAAGCGTGGTCGTGCCTGCAGCGTTTGCTTTGATGAATGGCAGCACTAATCAGTGTGTGTGGGTGCTTAATAGGGGAGGCAGGAGAACCCAGGACTGGGGAGTGCTAGCAAAATAATGAATTCAGGGGACCCTCGAATTTGCACTAAGGCAACAATTTGTGCAAATATTGAGTGAAGCAGATGAAAAAGTCAGCAAGGCGGATCGCCTCGCTTATTGCGTACCGGAGTATACGCCACAACTTACTAATTAATAGTTACTAATTAAGTTACTACTATTGCTTGTATTTAAGCATTGTTAAAAAGGATTAAGGTTAGAGTTACACTAGTTATGTTTTCTAGCTGGCACATTTAAGTATATAAGTTTGTGCAGACGTATATTAATATTTCACTGTGTATGATCTTTGACAGTTAATGAACCATCAAGGGATCATGCATTCTTGGATGGCCGGGACATTTAGCCTGTAGACTTACCATCCACTAAGTGGACGCAACGTTATCACTTATCATGAGACACAGCAATTCGTATATGACGTTGTTTCAACAAATTAGTGACTACACCTAGTTGTAGGTATAATAAAAAACAAGTGAAGTGATACTCATGGAGGCACATTGCACATAACATAATTGTGCATTGTGTACATGTATTTTTAACATCTCAATGATAAAATTATGGTAAATAAACACAAAATGTATTTACTGCCAGTCTTCTATAGACTAATAATTCCACATAAATGCCGTTCAAATGCTCCTCTGCAACACACAATTTCACCACACACACACACACCACTGTGCACAAACTCACACAAAAAAGACAAGCAGGCTTTGCCATCTATTGAAAACCACAGGGCCTAAAAAAGGATTTTTTTAAACTGATGAATTATGTAATAAAAACTTTGAAATCACTAAATTTGACGGGGCTGGAAAAAAGCCCTGTGGACACAGTAGACGGGGCTGTTTACGGGGCTTGGGCCGATCGGCCCCGTGAAAAGGCGAAGCCTGGATAAGGCCGGAAAGTATGAGTGCCAAATTCGCACAATGCTCGCTTTGTTTCACACCATCACAGCAAAAATACAGAGCAGTCAAAAATAAAGATTTCAAAACACTGCTATTTTCTGACAAATGTGAATGCGTGATGATAGAAATTTGTGTATACTATTATTTATGCACATACTATCATAATATACACAAAAATTCTAGGGTATAGTATCCCCATTAGTATATCAAAGAGATATCTGGTAATCCCTGTGGAAAACTGCCATGCCACGGCAATGTAAATAAAAGCCGACAGTATGAATAAAAGCAAGTGCCTGTTTATTGTGTGAAACTTCCTAACCACGCTACTCGATTGTTCGGCCAGTGAACGTGGTCGTGTGTGACGTCATTCCGACGATCGATTTCGAGTTATGCTGGCTTGGCAAATTCAAAATGGAGCTCGGAAGCAAGGACACTTGGACCCAGAATGAAATGAGGTGCGATTACTCATGTACTTGCTCCCATTTAGATTTTGGTGGAATGGGAGTTTTCTCCAGGAATTATGCATAACCAGTTGGCAAAGTTATAATTCCAACAAGAGAACATTTAGCAATGCATAGATACCAAAATGGAGGCGGTTTGTGTAATTGTCCCGCGATTGTATGAAACGAAGCGAGCGTCGTGCGAATTTGGAGGTCACGTTTCCCACTAGATACAATAATGTAACCCAAACCCAAGAGGATAGGGTTACAAAGCCTCCCTATCCTTTTAGGGGTTAGATGCTCTCTACAACAGACAAGTTCACGCGCACGCCTGTCGGCGGTGCACAAACAACAAAATTGTAGGCAGGTGGGAAACTAGATACAATAATGTAACCCAAACAAGAGGATAGGGTTACAAAGCCTCCCTATCCTTTTGTGCGGAGGAATGCCCGAGTGAATCACTCGGGCCGGTTTTGCTGGTGCGTTTTCAGAGACTAGAACTTCCAAACTGGGTTTATTCTCACACGAACCTTTCTCCGCTATCTGGGAACTTACTATGTATCGCAATACTTGTATTAAACTAATATAACCTGTTACAAAAATTCGAAGTTGACGAGGGCGAATATACTGAGGCGCCATTTCTGTTGACCTGTGACGTACGCATTTCCCAATGCGCATAGCGATCGCAAACGCAGCGCCCTCCGATTGGTCGGTGAATCCGCTCTCAAACGGAAGTACGTCACAGGGTCAAACGAATGGCGCTCAGTATATTTGCCGCTCGTCACTTCGAATTTTTTGTAGCAGGTTATATTAGTTTAATACAGAGTATTGCGATACATAGTAAGTTCCCAGATAGCGGAGAAAGGTTCGTGTTGAGAATAAACCCAGTTTGGAAGTTCTAGTCTCTGAAACGCACCAGCAAACCGGCCCGAGTGATTCACTCGGGCATTCTCCTGAACAAAAGGATAGGGAGGCTTTGTAACCCTATCCTCTTGGGTTTGGGTTACATTATTGTATCTAGTTTCCCACCTGCTCTACAATTTTGTTGTTTG